CCACGAACCGCGTGTTCGTCGCGCGTTCGTTTGCTCGAGGCGTTTGGAAAAGGCCAAGTCCGCTCCTTGGAGCGAAACTGGCGGCTCGAGGCGTTTGGTGACCAGCCTAACGACTAACGCTCAAAGCATCTGAAAACGGACGTGTCCGTAAAACGGCCAAAGTGATGCAGGTCAAGTGGTCTAGAGGTTTGTTTTCGAGCTGAAAGGTCTCCACGGTTCTTCCTCCAAGAATGGTGGTGTTCCGGTGTTCGGTGTTCGCCGAAGACGGTGAACAGGCCCAAGAGGTGAATCCAGCTGGACCCTGGAAGATCCTGCACCTACAGGTGGTGAAGAGGCTGTTGCTTTTCTCATCGAATTCGATCACCTCTGGCCCTAAGAATGTAGAGCAAAGTTTCCAAAAACAGAGAAAAGTGTCAGAAGCCTTTGGTCCTTTGAAAGTCCAACTGGGTGAATGTTCCCATTGGGTGCAGTCCCAGGTTCGTCCCAGCAAGCAAAATCAAGAACCAAATCAACCAACGCTCAACGGCAATCGACTACTATGAGAGGTTCAAAGGGTCCTGATTCAGCCGACATAGATACTGCAGCTCCGTTTGAAGATGCTTAAATTAAGACATATTGCCAATATTGCCTTTAACTCGGTGCGGATCCCCAACACAAAACAAAAGAGGGGCAGTTCTGTTAGAAGATCATCATTTTCCCAACCCTGGTCGTTTCTACGTACCTCTTCCCAACCCTGTTGGAACACATCGATCCACACCAGGACCTCCACCGTTTTGATGCAACGAAGTCACGAAGCTCGTTTCCTCATTGCGCGCCATTTGCCCCATGGGTGTATCGCTGTATCATGCTGTATCGCACCATCCAGGTTGAGTGGATATGACATGATGTGAGGGTGGGGGGGGGGGGGCACTCCTCATCACTTCGTCCTCCTCCGCCGGTAAGACCGCCACTCGGACGCCGTGCCCGTTCTCCGTCCAAACACGCCTCAGTCCTTGGAGCCGAAGTGTCCTCGACCGCAGAGATGGGCGGTTCCGGATGGTTCCGGACGTCGACCACGGGAAACACGGTTTCTGTTGGGAAAAAACGGCCCACGCGATGGGGAGTCATTGTGGGCTATGGGATGATCATCGATTTGTTATCCAGCAGTATCCGAGTTCCTACTTACATCTATGTACTTACTACGGCCGACCTGATCAACATTTGGATGACATTTTAACATGCATCGACACATTCTTGAGACTACAGGCTGTTGTGGAAGGATTAAGACTACAAGTTCAAGAGTCCTGAGGTAGAACGTGTAAAGCTACCACCTTCCCCAGGTCACTCTTCATTGTTTCCTTGAGAAAGATTGCTTGGCTGGTGGTAAATTGTTCAATTCTATGGACTTGGGCTGCAGCCTATAGTTCTACATTACACTTGGTCTCTTTAGCCTTAGCGCGTTTTCGTTTCTTCCCTGAACTCCGTATGGTCACACTTCACATGTTTTGCAGGATCATCACCACATGTTTCAACGAGATGGTCGTCCAGTCTCCGAGAATCAATAACATATCAATGCCATGAATTTGGGAGTCTACTATTTATAGGATATAAAATGATATAAATATAGCAGGCCATACCAGGAATCTATAGGTTTGCAGTATAGGACCTGGGAATCAGTAGGATGTACCAGGCCACACCAGGCCTATTCTTTTGCAACCCATGAGGGCTCACAACCAAATTCGGCTTCCCCCTGCCACTCAGGACCAAGCCAAAACGGCGGATCTGGGAGGAGGCCATTCTCAAGTCCACGCGTACTTGCGCGGTGATTTCAGCATGTGACGCGCTCGGGGAACAGGGGGTGTGTGGATGTCCGAAGTGAAACAGCTTTGATTGGGGTGACCGAGGGGATTGATTGACAGTTAAACCATGGCCTTGGGAGTTGCGTTATTTGATTTTTGGTTTCTGGTTTGACTCCAGATCGATGTGTGTGTGTGTTTTTCTTTGCGGTTACCTGATCGGCTGACGCATCCACTTCAGGGTTTATAGGTACTCCTATAGATGTGCTACCTAAGCAATTGCCACTCCCATTCTGAATGCCTTTGCAAGATAGAAAGAGCCAATCTCATGAGTCAACAATCCACCGGGAGATCCTTGCACCAAAAAACACGGCGAGCCACGCCAACATGGGTTGATACAAACAAACTGGATGTCGTTTGGAGAGGGCCGCTGCATGTCGAAAGCACCTGCATGAATGTTGCGACACAGAAATTTCATGGAACTGGACAAGCACCACACCACCTGTTTGGTAGTCGGAAAATGGTCATCCGAAATTGGGGTCATGCCATCCACATAACATCACATAACTATGCTTATTTCAGGGAGTGTATTTGGTGTTTGGCCCCCTTGCTGGGGCCACATCAACCGAAGGACCAAGGTAGTTGGCAAAATCCGGCGCCGATCTCGGGCACGCCACACGGTTTTTTGCCGGTCAGGATTGGTGATGGCCTCGGGCGTCGTAGAGTTGGGATGCCAGAGTCTAAAGCAAACAGTTGCACCGTCCCAGAAATGCGTGAGACACTTGCAGGAGAGTTTACGTTAAGTTTGGGGAGTTGTGTTTCTTGTTTGGCTCGTGCTTTTGTAGAGTTGTTTGGGTCGGAGCGCTGAAGATGGATATGACACATCTTCGCGTGAGCAAGGAGTTTGTTCCAGACATTTTCTTGATACAGAAATGTCATTTGAAGAGGGGTTTTGCCCCTTGGGAGACATAAAAAGTGGTGCCTATTTTCTCCCTTAGATCCAGTTGTTCCTTGTTGGTCTTTAACCGATGTGCAGCTCCAAGATCACCAACTCTACTGTTTGCCGGCATGTACCCGCGAAGCATGCGCATTCTGCGCATTCGTTTGCTGCGACGTGGGTGAAAACCATCGCTGCGACGAGTACAACCGGGCGCCCATCTGAGCGGCGCCAATCGGAGCCCTGCTGTTTGATTTGCGTGATGAGCCAATCAACGAAATGAGCTACTCAAGAAATGATATTTTTGGTGCACGCATCTAAACTAATGTTGGATCTTGATTAGTAAAGGGGGGTCCCCCCTCAAACAAATGGAGGATCCTCTATAATAAACTAAATAAACTACCACCAAAAAACATTTGTGTTCCTAGGAGGATTCCTTTTGTAATTGATTGTAGTATTCATTTTCCTTTCTGATGTTCTTTGTCATTAGGTATTCTTTACAATCCTTTCATACTACTACACAAAGGATTGATTAAGGAATTGATGGCTTTGGGAAGCTGTGAGTTATGAAGAACTTGAGAAACCTATACTTATCAAATCTTATCAATATTCTCAGCAAGCCAACTTCTTCAGGAAAAAAACTTTGCACAATTGAGGACCCTTATTAAAACAAATTCATTATTGAGGATCACGGGCCTTCCTGGTCTACTACCTTGAAAAGTTGTTTAGGAGCAATCTTTACATAAAGGATTGATTAGGGAATTCATGGCTTTGGGAAGCTGTGAGTTCTTAAGAAGAACTATAGAAACCTATACTTATCAATACTCTCAGCAAGCCAACCATTGGCTTTAGCAGTATTAAGAATTACTTCAGGAAAAACCTTTGCACAATTGAGGACCCTTAAAACAAATTCATTATTGATGATCACGGGCCTTCCTGGTCTACTAATTGAAAATTTGTTTAGGAGCAATCTTTACATAAAGGATTGATTAGGGCATTGATGGTTTTGGGAAACTAGCAGTTTTGAAGAAGAACTATAGATACCTATCAATACTCACAGCAAGCCAACCATTGGCTTAGTAGTACTTACTATTTCTATTTGTCTAACGGAAATATACTTAACCCTAAAACTTGTTTAGATAACAAAACAAGTAGGATCCCCACCAAAAAATAGCATAATCGAGGACCCTTAAAACGAACAGGTTGTCAATAAATATTTTTCAACAGGTTAGCATTATAGAGGGCCCTATTACTAATCAGCGTCCAACATTACTCTAGAAATGATGAATATGACCTATTTTTTATCCATGATCCAAAGATTCTGAAGCCCAGCGGCTGCCAATCGATTTTCTACCTTGCTATGAGGAAGATTCCCTTGAGAGGAGCTTCTTTCATGGCCGTATGGATTTGCCGTGAATGTCAGGTGTCAAGAGAAAAAGGTCCTTAGGGACTTTGTCTCAGCTCGTCGTGGATGCAGGTGGGAGGCATGTCAATAAGCAAGACTTCTTTGTACATGTTTCTTGGGTGCTCCACCCATGTATTCATCCATGGTATACATCAGTGCTGTCTCATATGTTTGCATGACAGAATCCTGAGAAGATCGCTTCTCAGGCGAATTGAAGCTAAACTTGGGTGGCCACTCGTTCAGGTGCAAACTGGAAGCTATGAAGGTCCACAAAACTATTGAAAGATCACGGGCACAAAACCCTGAACCTTGAGTGCAGCGAGGTTGTAATTAGCCACTTAAACGAACCATCACAGTGTGAGGCATCATTGGGCACTGAGCGCCAAGGATCCCATCAATCTTAGTTTGGTCAACTTGCTCCAGGGCGGAGGAAAAAATAACACCAAATACACTCCTCCCAGTACTCCTCCCAGTACTCCATCATGGCTACATTGATGACATGACCCCGAATGGCTACAGGATGACCCTGTTCCGAAGACTGAACAGGTGGGTGCTTCTCCAGAAGCGTGCGATTATTTCTCATGAGTGTCGTAGGCTTCAAGTGCATCCAAGAGTGGAGCATATGCAGCACATTGGGTTTATTCCAAGGAGTGTGCGGGTTTACGGGGAAGATCATTCCCGGACTGACCTTAAACCATATCAAACCTTAAAGCACTGGTAGCGAACTCCACTTCCATGTTTTCGGGCAGTTTACGCCCTGGAAGATGTAAAATTGACCCTGAAAACCACTGGCCTGTAGTGGAAAGCCTTCGTTCAGGGGGCAAAACCACAGGGCCTGTGAGTTTTCGGGAGTGTAGCAAAATTGCACTTTTTGCCAGCCGAGGGAACTTTTCAGGCCCCACCAGAGGCTGGAGCATGTTTGGGGTGAAGAATGGGATCTGAGTGGATTCTATTTTTGGGAGGAGCCGCTCCATCCAGGTCCATCCTTGGTTGGATTTTTCTGTTAGGCTCGGGGTCTATTATTTCCTTGTTGCGTGGGGTATGATTATAGGTAGTGCTTTGGACGAAGCGGCCCTGATGTCATGGGGTTAGTCCCGGAAACCAGCTCGCTCCAGAAGTCTTGCAGACCGCAAGCCAAAACCACAGCCTTACGGATTCGGGTGGGGACGTTCTTCTTTTTCGGTGTTCTATAATATTCTTAACCAAAAAACTGGTGAAGGGGATGAACATGGATGAAGAGCTGTTCCGAACTCATGGGCTGTCGGTCAAATCCGTTACCAGACCAAAAGCAATGCACCGAAGCTCCATATATCACCTGCATAATTATAGATATTATATTGTATTATAGTTGGCACAGTGATGTAGTTAAATTCTTCCTGATTTCGTTGGAAATCAGTATATATATATATATATCAGCGGCACAGGAGCAGAACAGCAAAAGAGGAGTGATTGGCACACAGTAGATTTCAACTGGACCGGCTGTTCTACATAGTGCCATAGGATTTCTATGCTTAAGTAAGGCAAGGGAACGAGTTGCGATCTGGCTTCTTCTTCGGAACGCGGCGTAGACCGGGTAGACCAGACTCATCGGTAGGCCAGAGCAGCAGTCAAGTCGACGAGGCCAAGGCGAGGGTCACTCGTCGACCACGCGGAAACCAGATGGAATTGGGTCACCTAGCTCAACTGGCTCAACTAATTCTCTCCCCAACAAGAGATGAACACTTTTTAGATACTTATTTAGTATTTGGATTCATGAGTTTCTGGCCCTCAGCCATCAACGGTTGCATTGACCATCATTGACCCTATCCCCAACACGTGCTTGATGCAGAAGCAATGAGGTGAGCTCGGATTTGACCCGAGGTTACCCTCCTCCTGCATCCTCCGATCCGCGAAACATTATTGCTTCTCTTATTTTCTCTTGGACCCCGGATGACATCCTTGAAAGAAGTACTTCAGGGTGAGTTCGTAGATTTTGGTAGAATGGACCCCCCTCCCACACACGATTGTGTGTTGTTGCCTTTTTTCTTACCCTGAGTAGAGTAGATCATCAATTCTTCAAGTACGTAAGTCATCACATCACTACATTTGTTTTGTAGATCATGAGAGTTGCCATGAAAGCGGCAGTATGACTATATATCTATGACTTACTTTCATACTGTCATACATGCATTTGTAAATGTTTGTATAGAGACCCCCTAAATAGATAGAGAGAGAGAGAAGTAAAACATGTATTGAGTATTGAATATAACCGTTCCTGTCTATTTGGGCATCACTATATAGCATCATGTGGTATCTCCTTGTCACTCTCACCTGACCCACATCGAAGAGACGAACAGGCACGTGTGCTCAAGGTCCTAGTCAGGCGGGGTTCGTTCTGGCTTCCGCCTGTCTCCGCATGGTGGAGCTCACCACTGGATTTGGGAAGACAAGACCTGAACATCCTGAACTTGTTTTGGAAATGATAGGAATTTAGATGAGAGTGCACCTCCATGTTTGTGAACACAAACACATCTCATCACTCACCAGGCTTCTGGCTTTTTGGAGACACATGGAGACCACACCAAAACACTCCGTCAAATCAGCGGCGTTTCGTCGTTGATTTTGTTGGCTTCGAGAAGAAGTGACTCAATGCATTGCAGTGCTTGTTTCGAGATGGCGTGATTATTCTTTTCTTTGCCCGGCCAGCGGCGTCTACCGGGTGTATGTGGAGCTACGTGGTGAGCTACGTATAATAATGGGTGCATAGGTAGAGTCCACACGTCCTTCTGAGATTTTCCGCATGTCCGCATATTCTCGGGATGGTCTACCCATATCAACAAGCAATGCGATATATAAATGTGAACCTCCACAAATTCATGCACCTCAATGTGGCAGAGAGGAAATATCGACTCCTTCGCAGTTGGTCAGGCTGTGGCTGTACTGCTTCTTGCGGAACCGCAGCAATGAGAACTTCTTCTACACGTGCATGCCTGAGCAACCTAGCGGGGAATCGCTGCCAAGTGGCCTCCGTTGATTAGCTTGGCTTGCTTTTCTTTGGCACCCGGCACATCCTGGCACCACCTGCTCTCCTTTGCAAACCGGTCATGCCCCTCCTGAATGCCCACACCAGCGCACAATGGTAGGAACATGTACTGTAGGAACTCGGCTCTTTTTCTTCAGTGCAGGATCCTAATCGGATCAGATCCAGTTACTCCCCTTCACTAACATTAACGTGGGGCAATTACTCTACTACCTGCAGTGCCACGTTTTGTTTGCTTTACAGTAGCGGCTGGAATCCTTGCATCCCGCAGAGTTCTAAACGTACCAACTGCCATGACTGGTGCCTCAAGTTATGAGCTAGTCTGGCTGGTCTATGCTAATCTTAAGCAGTGTGCAAGGAACCGCCCACCAAATTCGCAACAATACCTAGGACATCCTAGAACAATTATATACAAAGTACTATAAATTAAGAGCAAAGTGCAACTCTTCATTCCTTGTCACCGCAATAGAATCCACTGTAGATGGCATAGACCATCACAGACCTCAACCACCCAACTTCGGAGCCAGAGAAGATCGAGGAACTCAGGCTGAGGAGCTGAGGCTCAGCGCGGAGCTTGCAGAATCGCCCGTGGAAACTCTAAGTGAAAGAGTATGAAAGCATGAGTTCAGACCATAGACAATGAACTAATCTACCACTAAGACCCCAACCATTAGCATTTCAACTGACCATTGAGATCAGCCCTCATGTCCCTTGCGCCTTTGCGCACGCACCTGCCGCGTCCCCCCCCCGCCTCCGCCGCCCGTAGCACGCCGTAGCGTCATTCTTCTCCGCGCCCAGGAGAGGGTACATGGACATCATCGACGCCATGAATGGGTTCCGGTACTCAGGGCATCCGACACTCGTCCGTCCGCGACACTCTGTTCACGGCGGGACCTATGGTTTTGCGTTTCCGGGATTGCAAAACCATCCGTAACGTTTCAAAGGTTAACATATAGCCGGAATATGTACAGCAATTGTGATGCCTGCATTGGAGATGTTTGAAGGGTGAAGAGGTAAAATATGCCAACCCCGGATTGTCGAGAGTCTAACAAGGGATTCGTAGGGGGTGAGTCTATGGGGAAAATCACAGGTGCACACACATACTTGCCAACATATACGTACCGTTTTTTATGCATGCTTACACTGTCACGAATCTCACCACACACACATACTTGTGGTTTGGAGTGTGCCCTCGGCACATGCGGAGAGTGGTACATCTCCTCACCCAAAGACACGACTATGTCTTGTTCAGATGACTGTAAATTATCGATATTATCGCCCGTGGTCCATGTTTGCAAAACAGCTGATAGAGAGAGAGAGAGCCTGGGGCCAGGGGTATACTTGTGGCAGATCGGCACCATTGCTGGAGCACTGGGGTACTACATGTCCCTTATCAGGTGTCGATGATCGTTGATTCCTCAAAGACCGTATGTATTCTTCTAGCCATTGTTCCAGTCCATTCCACCAAAGTCCCGAGTATTCTTGCCGCTTTGCATGGCAGTTCTGTCACTGTCGACTTGGGCTCCAGCAAGTCTGGCAGGGCGCCCGCTGCACGATCGCTACACGCTGCACGATCGCAGGCAGTTCAGCGTTCCATCACTTCTCGGCCGACGGAGTCCGCGCCCAAACCGATCAGTCCAACTCATGGCGCGCACGGTCCGACGGTCCAGTGGCCTTGTGGCCATCTCGGTGATTGCGGTCTTCCTCCAGGCAGCGGACGCAAGACGTGCCACACTGGGGGTTGGACGTTAGCTGTTTCATTCATGCTGTTCAAGCTGAAGTGGGTCCAGTCATCAGATTCTTAAGCAAGGTTGAGCACTGAAGTAGACTGTGGAAAGCCCACGGGAAGCTTGTCCTGCAGACGCGTTTAGCAATCAGGTGTACCTTGCCGTCAGCTTTGGCCGGATTCGTTTCAATCCCAAACGGCAAGTCACGGACACAGATCGGAAAACATATGAAAACACTGACCGGTCCCCCTTTTGACGCTTCTTGGATCCCTTTGGGGATTGCTCGGCATTTGTGACCGTTTCAAGATCAGCAGAAGTTCCATATAATTTAATACACAAAGAATATGGCAGGCAATTCCACATGGCTCCTTAGGCAATCAGAGGCTCCACTGCTTGGTGAGAGGCTCCTCCACCCTGCTCCCAGCAGAGCTGCGACGACTCGTCAGGCCCTTCCTTTCGGCGGCACCGGCTACACTGCCCCACCGGGCTCCGGCTTGACGAAGAAGCAACGACATGGCAGCATCCACAATAAGGACCTTTCTGGGCCGTGACTTGTGCGCCATGGCTTGACTGAAAAAGTCATATACAGAAACAATAAAACATCAACTAACATCAATAAACCGTGCATAAGTGTATGGCTGGGCACACTGAGGACCTTTTCCTTATGGCCTGGGGGCTATCAATATCCAACATAGAACTGCCCGGACAACTACCGTTACGGTCCTGTTCAGAGTGTTTGAGCCATTCTTGGCGTGGAGGTAGGCAGTGCTTGAGTTTAAGCTTCTTCTACGGTTCCTCACTACCTTGAGGACAAGCTGGAGGGTGTCTATGAACTTCCTCCCGAGGAGGAGACGGTTCCGGGTGAGTCTGTGGGCAAGAAGATGGAGACAGCTGCTAGCATGGACTCCATGGACATGCTCTCAGACATTCATGGACCATTTGTCCTTTACATAGTGGGTTTGTTCAGCTTGAGAAAGTTTGAGGTAGGGACATTGGTCATTCTTAATATCCTGTTAGTCGGTCCATTCTCAGATTTGCACCCTGACTGAAGGCCACTTCCATGCACAATCTCTCAGTCAGTACTGGTTCCACGGATAGATCTGGCTAGGTCTTCGTGTAGCCCTCATTTGCATAGACAGCTGGTGGAGGTCCTGGTACCTAGCAGGTATTAGCATGCAGGTAATCGTGCATTTTCTTAGCGCGACATCTATATCCAACTACCGCCCACTTGAGAATTGGATCATCATGGAAGAATGGAAGAAGACAACTCCTTTGTTTGTAGAGGAGGGGGGGCCATTTCCAGGGGTGCATTATTTTCCACGGGCACCTTCCATCCCAAAAACTCATACTTTCTGCTGTTCATGTGTTTCAGCCCTTAACTCTCACCTGCATGAGAGAGTTCACCCCTGTCCCGCTAATAAAGAAAGTCTACTTAGTCCACTTTTCGGTGAATCCGTACCTTGTCGATCTTCCAGGTGGATTTTGGTCGCCCCTCGCTTGGCATGCGGAGCGTACCGCCAGGAGGAGCCGGAAGCGCCTGAGAAGCCGCCGATGCCCGAGCGACGCGTGCCCTACTCCATGCACATTGTACCTTGGTCTTTGGGGGCCGTGAAGAACCCTACGAATTGGTCATCAAGATATCGCTGAGATATGTAGAAAGGGACAGAGTCAAGATGTTAGCATAACAGGACAGGTTTTTTCTGGTCAATCCTTGGGCCGGATGAGATCCTTTGGACCGAGCTGGTTACGCGCAACACGCGTCGTGGTTTTCAACACGCCGAAGCGTGGACCGGACCTCCGAAGCTGCAGGTGACCCAGCTTCCTCAGCACAAGCACCTCAAGGAAGAGAGCAATGCCCAGCACTACATCGAGGAAAAGGTGCCCAGCCCACTGATTCTGCCGTTTGGCATCGCAGCAGCACAGACACCCATCAAGATCCATCAAGTCTTCGAGGTGCAATGACTGGTTTTCTACCCCCCCCGCAAAAGAAAAGATAAAGTACGAGTATCCTCCACCAGGACGTTCCTTTTGACCTCTGGGCTCACCTGTGCTGCTCCACGTGATTTGAACGTATTTGACGCGACTGGGCCACGTGGAGACCCGCAGTGCCCCGCAGGTGGTCGGTGCGTTGGAAAACTTTGAGGATTTCATCCGGCACGTGGAGGTGCATCTTCAAAAGTCCGACGCTTGGGGCCAAGGGCGATGACGGGTAGGGCGATGGTGCCAGGGCGAGGTGATGAGTTGTTTTTGGATGTTTTTTGGGGGTCGACCATCGTCATAGAGCTCTGGCGGAGACATGGCGGGAGGGAGACATGCACCAGAAAGAATCAGCATGAAAGATCAGGTGGAGAGGGTTCCGCTGAAAGGATTTGCGGATTTGTTTTGTCGGTGCGACCTGTTGTTGATGTTGCTGTCGGTGTGACTTGGGACCTTCGACTATCGGGATCCAACGGGTGGTTTTCTCAACCGCCGACCCATGGGGTGCCGCCTTTCGAATGAACTTGAGGGCGGTACTGGAGAGAGGTTTGGAGAGCCAGACCCCATTTAATCTGACAGACTCAGATGAAGTGCCAGGCGGTCTTGAATGATGATGATATATGTCAGTATGATAAAAATATATATATATATTGATATTGATATATGATGGTGATGAGGTGGTGCTGTGCTCCACATGGAAAAGTACGCTGGTAATCTAACTCACCTTGTGAACAAACAGGGCATAGTAGCCTGACCGGTGCCAAACCTTGGAAAACGAAGCCGGAAAGGCACAAAAGCCTCAGTGGATAAGACCCAATTTGGAACCTTCATTTGGTTCAGGTTCCTCAACTGAATCAGATCCCCAGCCAACGGCTCATCTCTTCTTAAGGCGCACCCCTTCTCCTTCTCGCGCCGGTCGCGCCGCCTTCTCGCGCCGCCTTCTCGCGCCGGTCGCCACGCCCAAGGATAACTTCCACCGCGAGAAGCGGCCTGAGAAGGCGAAGGCCAAGAGCCCCTTGGTTGACCAGACCTTTTTGAAAGGCCCACCCAGGCCAAGCACATCAAACCACATCAAACCACCAAGAAGTGTGTGTATAAGTTTTAGCAGTGTTCCAGATGGGTGAAAAGGAAGATGGCCCATTGGTGATGCATTGCAGAACTCCAATGGCTGAGATGAAGAACTCCATCGAACCATATGGAACCCTCTTGCCACTCATGCCCACTCAAGGCTCAGCTGACGTGGTGGATGAGGAGGAGGATGTAATCCCATCACCGCCAGAGAAGGAATGGGGGCACAAGGTTCTGATGCCCTACGTCTTCAAGGCCCAGGGCTTCGCCCCTCATGACCGATCGGGTTTGAGCCCAGAGTTGTTTCCTTACTGAGGGGAAGCGAAGAGTGGAAGGAAGGTGAGGTCATGCTGATGATTCTGGTGAACCTATCCGTGTTCATGGATATCAGCTACAGATCATCATGCATGGTGTGTGTGTGTGTGAGGGACTAAACCTTGATCTCCCAGAAGCATTGGGATTTCGATTGCAAGGAGTCTAATTTGGAGTTCACGAGAAGGTAGGGTTTCCAGCAGAATGATCTGCTTTTATTGTTTCAATGATCGAGCCAGACCAGTGAACTGTTTGGAACAAAATCCGCCAGTTTGTACCTGTATTTTTGGGTGTAAATATGTATATATATATATATACATAATGCTTTCGACTAGGGAACCCCCCCAACCAAAGGTTTTTTTGCTTCCAGGGGGTCTTTGGGAGGCCTCCCTATATTTTTCACACACTCCCATATTCACCGAACTGTTGCACGCGGAAGTGTTCCTTGAACTGTTGCACCGATGCAGCTGACTGAGAGAGTGGCAGGCACTTGAAAGTGCCTTTGTAGTTGATCACAGTCTTCCCTTGAACCACTGATAGTGAATGAGGAAGCAGGGTTTCTCGGTTTGCATGCCCCTTTCATTTGTGGAATCACTGCTTGCATCATGGGGGCTTCAAGTCTGAGTCTTGTATTGTTTGGTCTCACCTTCAGTCCGCACCAGCGCATGACGCACCGAGGAAACGTTGCACGCGTTTCGTGTTTCGTCACCTTTCCCGGGCGGTTTTTTCTCACGAGGCGACGGTGACGTTGGTGAACCACCACAAGATTGCGTTGTCCAATCCGGTTGCTTGGGCGGTGAGTGGTGCGGATCGGAGAGAGGTTGCGTGGTTTTTGGTGGCTGAAGGTGGACCTGACTTGGTGGTTCTTTGGTTTTGGCGCCGATGGCATGTTCCAGCCACTTCCCATTGGCCCTTCTGAATGCCCTTTCATTAGCGGGTGAATTCTGCTTGGGGACCACAAAGAATGGAAGGGTGTTTTGACGGTGCGATTTTCCAGTCCAGTCCACGGCACATACACTTTCCACTCCGTCGGGGCCTTGACAGGAGCGTCATCCGAGTCTTTGGACCTCTCCACGGCCCCGAGGTTCGCTCCATGGGTCCATGGGATGCATAGGGAGAGCCTCCAGACAAGCGGAGAATCGCATGTTTCTGAGAGCCTCCAGAGATACTGTGTCTCAGTATGTCATGTGCATTGATGTTCGTCTCCCTCGGACTTGATGGCTGAGGAGAAGCATGCTCAAGCCTCGTTGCAGGACCACGCCACCGCGGGTGGTGTGGTGCTGGGTGTCAAGGGAATGGGCCCCCGCCCAGAACTCAAGAAACGATTGTTGAGAAGATTATTATTGGGAGATGTGGCTTTAGGCATGCCTCTCCTCAAACTAATTATGGTGCAGCCTCATCGCTGCATGTCCCTCACCAACATCATCCAGCAATGAAGAAGCTCTCAACATCTGCTTGGTTGGCTAGACTCATCGTGGTGATAACCATGCCATATCCGCACCTTGGACATCCACCAGATTCTTCTGAGAAATCATTGGAATAAGTTATTGAATACAGAAACAATAAGCTACTAGGAACAAGTGCATCGCTACGTTCGTAAGAAGTGCCTTACTAGTAGTAACAATGTTCGCTATTAGAAACCAGAAGCTAATAGCTTCTTGTTACTACTAGCGTGGCACTTGTTACTACTAGCAAGGAATATATTGCCTCATGTCGGTCGTCTGTTTGGAGTGTGGATCCGTCGGATCCGGAGGAAGCCACCGATCACATGGTGGACGTCTTGCGGAAGTCCTTGCGGGAAGAGAAGAACCGCCACTCGGCCACTCAAGTTTGGGCCTGGCAGCCTGGCAGGAGGATGCAGGAGGAGTTTGTTTGGTATTGTGTTCTTATGTAGCCTTATTTGTTCATAGTTCCCTTCCACTGATTGGTATACCTCATCATTTGCCAGGTCATAACTTAAACAGGTGGTTTTGGGGTTGGTTGAAGTTGGGGTGGTTCTGGAGCGCGCAAAGTCCCACTTTGAGCCAAGAGCGCATGCATATCACTCCCGACACCTGGCTCAAATTCCAAATACCTTAGTTCCAAAACCCTTGCGTTGCGGTTTGAGCCAACGAGTTTGGGTAGAATATAGATTTCAGAACGTGCAGATTCTGAGTGCAGATCGAGCAATTCCTGCCCTTATTCTTCTCCAAAATGACCACACCAATTTTTTTGGGTGATATTTCGGACCCTGGGTTTGACGAAGCAGCTGATGCGATGGAACTGTGTTGATCCAATTCAGCCGAGGAGAGTCGTGTTTTTCTTCGGGTCTCCCTGTTTTGCCCTCGAACTTTTCGTGGTGGAAAGGAGGGGCCAACCATCCTTGGCCGGCAACAATCCTCCTTTCCATGTTTGCCAGATCACTGAACAAGGATTGCCAGATTATATATATATATATACCCTAAGGATCCAAGAATCCTTTGAGAAGGTGTTTGGGGTGGGTTTGGAGGGTCCAAGTACCTTTTGAGGAGGTACTTGGATCCCTAGGGATAGGAGAATCGTTCCATGTTGTTCCTTCCATCCTTTGCCAATCATCCGTGTTTTATTGAAGCGGCGGCAAGGAATGATCTCGAACAAGCGCAAGCAAGCTGAGCACCTTGGAACTGCAATCAATGGTGTTTTTGTTCGTGTTCCATCCGAGGTTGGACGACAGTTGGGTAAAGGATAGTGAAGGGTAAGTATGTCCCTAAACCCTAGGGTTCCAACTACCTCCTGAGAAGCTGGGGTGGGTGCCAGGGGTGTCTAACCCCCCTTCTGAGGATATGGTTGGAGCCCCAGGGGATATATGTGCCTCTTTGTTTGCCAGTTCATATGTGGTAGCTCTTGGGGCTGCAACATTCAGCCACCGTAGCCAGGGGGGCACAGGGGGCCCACATAGCCACAGCCCTTCCATCACCACATACCATCACCCCCAGCTGCGAGTCAACGCGTCCGATTGGACGTCCAAGATCCCTCAAAACATCAATCACTACGAGTCAAAATGCAAGGAGTGCAGGGCTTGCAGTTGTTTTGACCCTATAAAGACGTACCATGACAGATTTTGCGAGATCTTGTGTTCAATTGTGTTCATCTTGAGTCGCCTGGCATTGTTTGGCCAGGTTGAACTCAACAATGCCACATGGCCCAGCCAGACCGAGGTCGATGCCTGATGACATGGATGACATGGAAGCTTACAACAAGGAAAACGGGGCGCGCCGTCGGGCTCCGCTAAACACGTCCTTGATTCGGTCGGAGCCGTTGGAACCCATGTACATATTTATGTGGTACCGTCATAAGCTCACAAGATTCTACGTACGTAACAGCCTGTGGATGCCTTTGGTGACTCAGTTGATTGTTTCGTCTCTGTCTCAGACACGCGTGCTTCCCACATGTTTTGAAGGATCCCACATGTCCGGAACGCCGGGACTCCCTGATTCGTTTCCCTCGGCACACCTTCCCCGTTCCTCTCAGGTTCATCACCCCAAGTAGAACGGGTCAGTCGACGGTATTGTTTTCAAGTTATATTTCCTTTCGCACTCTTTTGGGATATCACAAGAAGATCAAGAAGCTACTAGAAACAAGTGCCCTACTAGTAGTAACAAGAAGCTACTAGCAACAAGTGCATCGCTTCTAGTAACAAGTGCCTTACTAGTATCACAGACTCAGATCGCCCGGTTTCATCCTCAAGTTGACCTCCCTGACCCTCCAGACCCTCCAGGAGCTGAGCGACGCAGTGGTGGAAGCGAAGGCCAGCGAGGACGACGAAGCGGAGGAGAGACCTTTTGCAGAAAAGTCCAAGTCAAGTCGAACCCGACGAAGCTTGTACAGATGTCCGGAGACCTGAGGTTTACAGGAGAGTGAGAGTGGTTTGTTGGATGACCCCCACTGAATACAGAGAAGTCTGAATGGCACGGCACTTGGCCTTTGTCTCACCAAGATAGGTGTGGTGTTCTCTTTCAAAGAAACTCGGATTTGGTCGCTCCAGGAGGCCTTGTACCAACGCATCGAGGCGGGCGTTGGTCCGGATGGTTGGGCGGTCGGGTGATGGCGAAGAAAGACACGACCATTTGCAACCATCTAGTAAGGCACTTTCTACTAGTAGCGATGCACTTGTTCCTAGTAGCTTCTTGTTACTACTAGTAAGGCACCTGTTACTACTAGCGTGGCACTTGTTCCTATCCTGAGGAGTATTGACCTGCCACCACCGACACCGAGTCACGATCCACAGGCATCCAAGTAGAGTCACGACTCCCACGAAGAGCTCCTGAGGCGTTCGGAACAGGCCGGATGCCCGGCAACTCCTTCGGGCGCAGATTTCGTGGTGAATGTTCCAATTGAATCCAAACATATCCAAACTGATTGGTCGAATGACGACTTGCCAGTGATTGTATGTGATTGTAGTTGATCGTTGGTGATCGTTCCATGTTCCCTAATTGTAGTCTATTGGCCCGTCGGTCAATACCCCAACCCTGTGCCCAGCGAGCAGCAATTGCGGGTTCAGTTGGGCTCAGGGTAAATATTTGCAGCGGTCATGAGCTCTAAGTCAGAGCCTTTATGCCGTACACCCATGACGATCGACACTGCTTACACACTGGCATCGCTTCTGTTTTGGAATGGACTCTCTTTTTTAACTGGGCCGTGCCCTTTGATTCCATTGTCTTGGGTGTACAGTTTGAAGTCTTTACCATTAGCGTTTCACCTGCACACGCCAGGTGATCTCAGGAAAAAAGCCAGAGATGTGTGTTTTTGGGGAGGAGGAATGGGGAGAAGGTCGGGCTGTCAGTATTTGTCAATCAGGTCCTTGACGCAGCAGAACAAATGTTGTTGATCTTCCTCCTGGTGTCAACCAGGGGCGCTTCAATGCCCTTTCTGTGGGAAGTCAGAGTTGATTTGCTTGGCCAGGTAACTTCTCTATATTTTAGGTAATTGTAGAACATTAATTTCATAGAATATGGGTTTTGGTTCCTTTTTGAATTAAATTGAGTGATGCGTGAATGCATACCACGGTCGGTGTGATGAATGTTGCCCTGGTGTACGCCCACCACACCTCCTACGCCCAGGCGTGGCTTGGGCGCGTCCGATGTCTTCGTAGCCCTCTTGAGCCAGGAGCCCGTTCAAAAAGCTAAGCACTGCAAGGCCCAGGAGTGGGTAATGTCCACCTCTGAGTAAGGCTATTTATAAATCAGAAGTCAACAATGTTATATGATCTCGGCATCTAATCTATCCAAACATCAGTCGAGTGGGTCACCCGTGGGTGAACCGCCGGCCACCCTGTAGGCTGGTATAAAAAGGGAATGCGTCATTGGACCTAATTTCCACTCCAGACTCTAGTTATACAATGTTGTGCGTATAATTGCACTGTATTGGTACTATAATATATATATATATGGAATGTATATATGATATTTGGGACTTTAGTATGGACAAGGAGTGTTCTTAAGCATGTTGGTTGGAATTCTTTCCTGCAGCTCCATTGCTTATTGAACATTTGATGACAGGACCAGCCAACGCAGTTTTACAATCTTTTACTAATTTCACTTTTGTACATATTGTGTTTACTAAATGTGTTGTGCAGTCCTAAAGACCGACACTGTACAGAAGCAAGACCCTTCATGAACATAATATATATGATTATACTAACCAATGAAGCAGGAAAATGGACAGCAGCTTTGCTCATTCGTAGTTCATGAAGGTTTCAATCATATGGTCCGTAATGGATAATGTTCATATTCGCTCCAGCCCTCTTCAGATAAAATAGAACGACTGAGATTATGGAGCATGATATTCCATCTAGAGCCACGTTTGGTTCCCCTATAGGCCTTTAGGCTGAAGCAGCTGAGGCACATTCCCTCTCTATCTCCAAATGCTGCCAAATGCCGAAGTCCCCACTAAAGGTGTCCAAACTAAGCTGGCCCTCTTGAAACCCTCTCAGGTGGGGAAGCTCCATCAAAACGACCTCCAGCCGTGCTGCTTCCAAAAGGGTCGGTCGTCCAGTCGAATCGCCCGACCTTGGCCGCTGGGCCTCGCGGAGGCCAAAACCGCGAGCTGGTTCGGAAGGTGAAGCCAGAGACGGTCACGAGGTGCGGGCAAGCAGCGGTCCGTGTGTGGGGAGGAAGGTGGAGAAAGCGGGGACATCGGACGAAGTGGGGACATCTGACGGCTTTTAGATGGGGAGCAGAGGTGGAAGAAGCGTTGCTCGGAGAGCTGGACCAAGGTGCCTTTAGTTGAGAGACCATGAGAGACCGAGAGAAACAGTTAAAGACGACAAAAAGACAATGTAGGTTTGGTCAGCTGGGTGAGGTGTGCCCGGCAGATTATCATCAGATTCTATCAACTAGTGTCATCGTTTGCAGACTCCAGACATGCTGTATCATTTTTTGCATATTGCTTCAGATGACTGAGACCTGGTGCAAAAAAAGTCACATGACTGGGACCTTTCCAAAAACGTGCCGGGACCCGGGACCAGCTTGCGCACCCAACACAAGTGGCGACCGATCCAGGTTCCTGAGATTCATCCGAGTGCTTGGTCCATTGGACACGTGGTTGCTCTTCTTGAAGGCCCGAATAAGTCGGCAGTGTAAGGCAGGGAACAGTAGGCAGTGGATACGGCAGTTTAAGGCAACAACATCAAAAGGTGGCCCTTTCTGTAGGCAGGATGCATGTGAGGCAACAGCTCAAAACACCCTGGGTGGGTTACTCGAAGTTTCTTTTAAGGTGGGAGGGGGGCCACTGAATTTTTAGGCACGGCTCTCGATCTGAAAAACACATTTCATCGGCTCATTCACCGAGGTGAATGGCTGACCACACTACTGTAACTAGACTTAATATAGAAATCGATGATCAGCCAGCCAATATCATGTGCTAGTGAATCCAATCGTCCTACGAATTCTATAGTGCTTTCACAGTTTGAAGTGGAGGAAGGGGCGGAAGCACCTGTTGAAGTCCGACTTCACAGCAAGGGAATATGGTTTGGAACTTGCTATGTTGAGCACTTCCCAGCTTTGGATTTGTGATCCGAACAGCAATGATTGATGATTGCTTGAACTTGGATGATAACGTGCACAAACCTCCGCTCTTTTCCGCGGTCGAACCGACCCGAGACGCCTTTATACGCCTTGACCTGCGATCTGACGCCAGAAGTCGGCGACTCTCTCCGACCATTCGGCAACTCCCCAGGCGCTTTGCAACCCCCAGAACGATGGAGCCATCAGCGACAAGCAGCAGTTGGTGCTCTCCAAGATCGCCTTCGCAGGCGACGTACAAACGGACGCATTGGCGGGAATCGGCTGAAGTGTGAGATCATGTGAGATCAACGAGCGCGGACCGCATGGAGCATCATTTCATTGATCAACGTACGAGACTCCAGCACACTGTACCAGGACCATCCAAAGTGACAAAAATATTTGCCTCCCCACTGATTCGATACAAAAATGACCAAAGTGTAGCACTTCTGACAATATGGTCATTGATTTTTTCGCCTCGAGCGAAAATCTTGAAAGCGAGCACTTTTGTGCAATCAAAGATATTGAAGGGAACAACAGGTTCTGACCACCAATGTCTGAGCCATTTTGGCTCTTTTTGTGGTCTGGAGCCTTGCTTCCACTTCAAGTGCCCCAGATTATGGTATGCATCACACGTCTGATGGATTATGCACACATATGCATACACACATACATGCGGTGACATAGTACAGCATTGGCCAGCCATACCTGGGCGGCGGAGGTACGGCATGGCGGCTCTTATTGAAGCTGGTCATTGAAGTACGCCCCCACCTATACCGCCAATGATCGAGAGTTGCTAGGGAATCTTCCATGGGTAGCTAGTGCTTGGGAAAGCCTTCAACAGGCAGAGTTTTGAAGCCATGCAGTTGAAGCACCAGCTTTCTAAACTGCAGGCATTTGGCCAAAGTGTTTGCGTTAAGCCTGAAGTTTGAAGCCATGACCTCACCTGTGGTAGAGGAATGGGTGGGGAATGAGACTGTGCTGTCTCGTGGTGGAGTCGGTCGTTTGGTTTTGGCCCCAAATGAGTTCCTGGGACGAGCTGACCTGGTGACCAACGAGGAGGTTCTGGTACCACTCCTCAAACATTGTGGACTTCGTGTCACGGTGGCTCAGATAGTGGAACATGTGGAGCTTTTCCTCAACTATGCCAGACCAAAGGGAAAACCCAACCTCCCTCGCCCCTTGACTGCAGGTTCATGAGAGCGCTAAGTATAGGGGAGGTAAAGCTTTTTGTCATGATGGATGGTTCTGGTACAGGTTTACATGTTTTTCCTTGTCGCTCAGGCAAGGCTTGCAGATTCCAGGCTTGGAAGCTGAAGCGCTTGGTGAGTGTGTTCAGCAGGGTGGCCAAACGAGGCCACTACCCTAGAGAACGTGGTATCCGGCGTATCTTCACTGGTGCAGGGATCCCACTTCCCTCTGATCCCCGTCACTTGCCCAACAAAGCTATATATATCGCTATATATTTTTTTTCATGGTAGTGCACTGTTGTTCATGCCATCTCTTCAACCCATGCACTACCTTAACATGATCCCAGGTGACTCTCGAGATTCTCTCCAAGTGGACACGGAGGGGGAGGACGAGGGAGAGGAAAGTGAAAGAGTCTCTGCCGTTCAGCTGCACTTCAATGAAAATGTGTGAGACTTCTTCCGTTTTTGAATATTTTTGAATCATAGATCTCATCCCAGTGTAATGCACAATGCTTCCCAAGGATACTGAATTTGAGCTGGAGTCCGGGGAGTCATCTGTTGGGAAAGCTGCTCACCGTGAAGGTAGGCATTTCGTGCTCATGTCATGCAAAGAGTCATAGCTATGGATCCTCTGAGCACTCATCAATTAATTTTTGCCAAGTTGCCGGATGACAGGTGATCGAGATCATCTGGCAAAGGAGGCCGACTCCAACCTCAGGGAGGAGACCGCTTCTGCAGCTTCGAATGTGACCCCTTTACCCAATCATAGTCGATACTTATATGCAAGAGGTGCTGTGTCTACAGGGGTGCTGAGCTGTGAAATTGTATCCTGCAACTTTGAGTACATGGCATATCATATGTATTGTGTGACATGAGTAATAGCCTAGGATTGGAGACAAACCCACCCAGCGCTGAGAAGCTACAGAAGCACGCGGTTGAGCTCTTGGAAGATGGAACAGGGACATGCCGGAAATGTGGTTTGTTTGCTCCATCCAGACTTTGCCCCAACATCCAGAGCTTGTTTTCTCGGCCTTGCACTGGCCAAGATGATGGAAAGGATCTGAAGTTCCAAATCCTGTTTTCGAACGATTGGCTAAAAGAGTTCCAATCCCTGGTGAAAAACTTGAAGTTTGATGAGTGGCAGGTGATGGCGCACTCAGGAAAATCTTTCCGATTCTTAGGCAACGGTAAGCTCTCAGAGATTCCAGAGCCTTGTGATTTTCCCTTGATGCTCCAGCCCATTCCGGCAGAACAGCTGCAAGCAGAGCTTGAGCTTGCTTTGCTGGAAGTGGACCTCTTGAATGAACAGCTTCAGCTTGAAGAGTTGGAGTATGCTTTGCATTTTGAAGAGGTGACTGCGGAGCCCACCAAGAAGTTAGAGCAGAACAACATCATGCCTGAACCTTTTTGTCACTTGGACCCTATGAAATACAATTTAATCAGTTGATGGTTTTGCAAGTATATATATATAGAAGGAAATGGGCATGGATCCTAGGTGCCGGCGACAACTTTGACACCCTTCCTTTTGATGCCCATATGGCCATGGAGAGCTTTGTGATGCCTCCTGAGGCTGGCGCAGTCTTGCAAAACACCATGATCTAGACATCACCCATTGTTCTGTCCAGGCCCCGCTGCCACAAGAGAAGCCTAAGACCTTTGCTGAGATGTCTGGCGCTGGTTTGTCTTCTGAGACCCTTGTTCTTGGAGCTGAGAGTGGGGAGCCAAAGGTGGAGGAACCCGAGAAGGCTCCAAAGGTGGAGGGGTCAGAGGTGGTGGAAC